TGGAGAAAGACTGGGAACCGCGGCGAAATGCGGGGGAAGGGAATAGGGTCGCCAATTAGGACGCAGCGCATAGCCAGCATGGAAATAATGCGGGAAAAAGCGACCGTAGAAACGACGGGAAAAAGTGAAATGCATTTTGAGGATTCTGCTGAGGGTCTCCGATGCAGTGTTGGAGAACTATTAATTGCATTACTAAGTATCAGTTAGGTGACGATTTCAATTGGCGTTGCAAGTAATTTTGCGAGTATCTTAATTAACTTAATGGTTGACTGTTGATTAGGTTTTTGGCAACTATCCAAATTGCGGATTGTTCGTTGTATTTCTGGCAATTAGTAATGTAGAATTGTTAATTGTACTTGCAATTGAGCGTGATGTTGTCTGATGCAGTAATGAAAAAAAATAGATTGTATTAATAATTAAGGATTAGGTGGCGATTCTAATTGGTTTTGTAGTTTTGCAGTTAAGATAATTGGTAATTGTTAATACATTTGGCAATTAATTTACTGGTTAATTGTTAATTGAATTTTTGACAATGACCTAAATTGTAATTTGGCAGTTAATAATGCATAATTGTTAACAGTAATTTGGCAATTAATAATGCATAATTATTAACTGTAATTGCAATCGAACGCTAGAATCAATTTTAAAAATATATGTTCCAGAAAGGTTTGATTAACATTGTTTATATCTAACAATACAATTTTTGCAAATTAACAGTAATTAACTTTTGAAATCAATCACGACAATTATTTTCAGTTAATTGATTAATCAGTCGCAATTGATATTAATCTATCGTTGCCCAACGATCAATGATGAAACGTTTTATTTGATGCTATCGCGTGTTTTTTATTTTTTTTCTTTGACTGGCGGTGTCCTCGTCTTTTTGTCTTGTGGACATTGGTCAATCAATTAAACCGCAATATATTCTGATTGTAGGGGATGGCTCGATGAGTTTGACCATCCGAAATGTTTCACTTCCATTATTTTCTGTATTGCATTATGTTGAATAGTTTGCTTTAAATACATTATGCACAACTGAATGACAACAAATCAATGATTTTCTATAGGAGAAAGTGCTCAAGGAGAATATAAAAAATATATTTTTATAATATTATTATTATCGTAAAAAATAATATAATATTAAATAACAAACAATGAACTCGGGATTAAAACGAAATCGTAAAGAAAAAAGATTTGAGCTCGTGTTCAATCATAATTTAATAACAAATATTAAAAGTAACTTTAAATAATAATATTATGAAAAATATATTCCTTATATTCTCTTTTAGCATTCTCTTCTGTAGTAATTCAATAATTTGAAAACGAAAACTTAAGGAAAAAAAAGATGGCAGCATTGGAATGTGATAAAACAAAGTATGCTTTAAATAAACTTCATTTAAATAACTAATTCTAATAACCGAATGGTATTAATTTGATAAATTATGCCCAAAGAAAGAAATACTTTTAATCGGAATAGATTTCATTTCGAACAATATTCAGAGGGATTGAAACAGATCGACGTAAACAAAGAAATGTTCCATTACAAACAAAGAATAAATGAAACTTGTATTTTGCCGCACGATTTGAATATTTCTAATGAAATGAAACCTACCCGATCGAAAGAGGCAAAGATGAAGAGCAATGGAAGGATCGGTTCGTATTGGCTTGGCCAATACCGATTACAGAATTCAATTAAATGGTCAGTGATCAAACTGGACACGATTTGTTGCGTTATCAAGCGTCGATGTTTGCACTAGGATTTCAGGGTTGAAGCAACACGATCCCTGTTCCGCCATCACCGCGCTATAAAATCAAGTTGACAGTGCACGGTGGGCACAGTCGTTGACTCGCATTTTCTGAACGGAAGTACAGATCCATCGAGCGAGAAAGCGGGACCGGAAGTGGCGCCATCATGCACAGAATCACTTACCTTCTAACAGTAAGAATTTTTAACCATTCATTGTGAATATAATTAATCTAAACTTAATTTACCAAACTTCGATAACCGCTTTAATTATATTTTCCAAAATAATAAATTTTACTAAATCCAAAAAAATTCATTCGCTTAAGTTTGCATGCGTTTGTGTAAATTTGAAAATCGGTAAACACCGTGGCTCGAGAATTGGTGCGAGGTGGTGCTGTAGATATATACTGGGTGTTCCAATTGATAGTTTTGCTACAAATTAAATATTCTCAATCTAAAATTGTCTGTTCTAAATTGAATATCTTTAGAATGATAGAATAGAAGTATTTCTAGTAAGAAAAAGAAAATTTGAAAGTAATAGAAATAGAATAGAAGTATTTCTAGTAAGAAAAAGAAAATTTGAAAGTAATAGAAATAGAATAGAAGTATTTCTAGTTAGAAAAAGAAACATTAATATTTCTATTACTTTCAAATTCCAAATCCCATCAGTAGGATATACTACGATATAAAATCTTTGAAAATAATGGAAAGGGAGTTATTCTTGAGAATTACTAATTGATATTTCTTTAATCACCTGTCTTATTTTATATCATTTTAACCAATGTTTTCTTCTACAATAATAAATGTATATGCTAAAGTACATTATTATTTTTAAATATTAGGAAACAAATGAGATAAGGATGTGTACAAATATTTAATGGTCCTTTTCGTATATGCTCTTACCAAAAATTTGTCCAAATAACAAGGCCAGATGAAAATGTTTACTACATCTTGTATATGTTTTAGCACATTGATATAAATTTATATAGACATTTTCCGTAAGCCAAGCATTTCTCGTAAAAATTGCATGGGAATTTTCGAAAGAATTTTAGCAATTACAAATGGCACTCAAAGGATTAAGATCAGTTGGACGAGTCGAGGTGAGACACCTTGTACATCGCGAGCAGCGGCAGCAGCCTTTAAGCGGTTCAATTATCGTGAACGTACTACCACGTCATTAAGAAAACTCGCGTTGTTTACTGTTCAATTATTAATACGTCTTCGTGGCCTGCCGCGGCGGCTTGTAATAACTCGTTTAAGATGATGTTAAACGTGCGCGTTAATTTGCCACGTAAATTGCACTTAAATTTAGTACTTCCCCCGTCTAATTCCGTACGCGTAACGTACGGCTTCGACAAGCTCGTGAACGATTATCGTGATTAGCGTAAGAGACGTCGATGCTGCACTGTATCCGCGTGTTCGATGGGAATTCGCAACGACAAATATTTTACTCGATGGATTACAACGATAATGCTGCAACAGTGATGAGTTTAATGAAAATATTATGTTGTTGTAGCAATAAGAAAAATAACATGTTTTTACAACAGCAGCGACAACCATAATGGTAGTGATAATAATAATATTAACAACTAAGATAATAATAATGACAACAATAAGAGCAATAGTAGCAACATTGATAAGAAGAGTGATAGAAACAATGTTATTTTGTTGTGACAACAAGAATAACAATGATATGCTGTTGAAACAGGAGCAACAACTATAGTGATAGTAATAAAAGTAGTATTAACAACTAAGATGATAATAATAATGTAAGTAAGGGCAAAAGTAGCAACAATCTCAAGAACAGTGATAAAAATAAGTAACAACTAAAATAATAATTATAACAACAACAATATCAATAAAAGGATGAAAATATTACTCTATAAACTATTACAAACTACACATCTATTTGATTTGTCAATACACTGTATTCCAACATGCACGACAAATACAATATCAATATCAAGAACATTCTTCTAATAACTATACCAACATGACCTACATTTAGCAAAACATAGTCACATTAATTTAAACCTAACAACTACCGATAAATTAATATGTCAGCTCAAAAAAGAACCACAAAACCAACGGCGATAATATAATATCTACACCAACAACAACATAAATAATAATAATACAGGGTCTCGAACAGTAACGAAAACTATTATATAACAATGATTTACATTTATTGAGTCATGCGACATTAATTTTTTTGGAATTCGGTCAGTCGCAGTTGGCATCCCCGATCCATAGATCGAAGCGTTCCAAATGGATCGTCGGGTTCGACCAGTCGGCAAAAAAACGAGAATAATAATAGCACTCACCTATTTCTGCCGAGTACCAAAGTCGTCAAGAACCTGTTGTCTTGGAACTTGAGCCGCTCCTCTTGCGTGGATATAGGCGCCGCGGCGCCAAGCGTCCCGGCCTTGCGTTGCCTCATGCCGCCCGCGATTCTGCTAGCAGAGAAACGCACGCGTCAGTCCGGTTGCATATCGTCAGGCTTCGCGTTCAGCGGCGTAGGGCAAGGAAAAGACAAATAAGAAAAAAAGAACCGTGGAACGTAGTAATTACGATTCGTTTGCCCGATCGCTGATTAGCCACGACAATGTTACCTTCGTCGAGAATTGCGTCTCGGCGCTTTGTCGTAAAGCAAATTGATCTTGTGGAGTTTCAACCAATCAAACAGTTTCTTTCTGAAATGCTGATTTTTCATTGAAACCTTGATATCTTGATTTTCGATTGGACTGTTGAATTGGTTGATTTTTTATTGAAATATTGATTTGTCATTGAAATTATGGGTTTCTGTTTTTGATTGTAATTTTGAAATTGTGATTTTTCATGGGAATTTTGATTTGTGATTGAAATTTTGAAATGTCGATTTTCTATTGAAATCCTGAAATTTTTATTTGTGACTGAAATTTTATAATAATGTCGAGAGAAAGTGGCTTGAAGAGAATAATGTTTGATGAATAATTTGAAGTAATTGGAATAATTGAAAAAAGTTAACTTTAATTGAAATTTGAGCGAGTTGGATAAATTAAGTTTGGTACTGAGTATTGGATAAATATAGAGACACCGTATGTTAATTTTGCAAATAACTTAGTCCAACTTGTTTTTTGAAGAAATATTGAAAGTATTCCTTTTCAATTATCATCGGAGAATTTCACTACCACATAACGAAATTGTAGTAACTATTAGCTCCAATCGACACTTCGAGTTACTACAGTTACCGAAGAAAAACATTTAACATCGAGTTTAGACCTAGCCTGAATCTTTTTCCCCTTGAACATACATATTGGATAAATATATTCTTTGTTATTCCGCTCAACCAGAAATGTTTATTGCATCAGTTCGTTCAGTATTGAATAATTCCTGTTTTACAATTAGTGCCAAGAAATCGCATGAATCCTGTCCAAGAACTCAATGGTTCGTAACAGAATTAAATAATTTTAGATTCTCAGTGATACTGTTTCTCAAACGTTGAACAATAAATTTAAACCTTAATTACTATGAGCATCTATGAAACCACTCTAAATTTTGTTCTATTTTCTTCCATAGTTTCTGATTTCCATAACAAATTTTTTTATGAAAATAACTCAAATAAAAGTTCACCGTGTAATTTACACTGTGCATTAATTACAAAAAATATATTACAATAATAAAACAATAAAAAAGAAATTTAAAAGTAACTTAAACTAGTTTGCAAAATTTTTCACACAAATCGTATAAGTTCGAACGTGTATAGTATTTAAGGGTTAAACGGAACGACCAGCGTATCCAATCACGTGAACCGAACAGAAACTGCGAAACGGTTTTCAACGAACCCCCGGCCAACATATTATTTGCATTCGTCCAGCGTCGCTGGCTGGCTGAGGTCCCTAGGATGTCAGCATGTGGAATATTTCTAAATTGGCGGTCAGTCGATTGTCACCTAAATACCTAAATGGAATAATTGGAGCTGGATTGGCCTTACCGGCTATTTTTAGCTTGGCATCAAGGGGTAGACCCTATCTGGCTATCTAAAAATAATCTGACGGCAAATGGACCGTTCAATGTTTTCAGGCGCTGGCCCTACTCGCTTGCTAAGACATTGTGTTTCGTTCTGTGGCGTTGAAATATTTTGCTACTCGACAATCAGATACATTCGTATGTTGTCGAATCGTTTCAGTTGTGGCACGGTAACAGGCTAGCGTAAGCAGCTTGACTTATGCCTATTTGTAAAGTATGGAAATTCTTGTATCGAAGACTTTGTTTGTGAAATGTGTTTTGAGCGAAGTGTTTGAAATAATAAGAGAATGTGGGGAATATTATTTTGAATTTTTATCAAATTAATGAATAAAGTGTTTATATCAGAATGTGTTTTATGTAAGGTGTTTGAAAGAATAAGGAAACATATTTTTATATAGATATTTTATTCATTTATTTTGATAAGAATTGAAAATAATGTTTCTTGAGTTTCCTTGTTATTTCACATACTTCGTACAACACATATTTTATGAGCAAAGTGTCCAATACCAGGATTAAAAATAATTAAATAGAGTTTTTCTTGAAATAAATGAATAAAGTTTCCATATAAAAATATGTTTTATATAGAGTACTCGAAATAATAAAGGAATATGAGAAAAATTATTTTTATCTTTCGTGAAAATGAATAAATAAAGTGCTTATATAAAAATATATTTTATGTAAAGTATTTGAAATATCAATTTTTATCAAAATAAATGAATAAAATTTTCATATAAAAATAAACTCTGTGTAGAGTACTTGAAAGAACAAAGGAACTCGAGAGAAATATATGTACATACTTTGTATAAAATATTTGAATTTGGAGTTCGAGAAAGAAATATTTTTCATTACAGAGAGATTAGTTGGGTTCATTAATATGTGAAATTGAATGAGGTTCCATATTGTTTGAAAATATGAGTTATGAGAATTATTTCATTTGAACTGTTCCAATTTTGTATTTGTTAGTACTTTTGCAAGTCAGCTTTGCGTTGAATATTATTCACACTATCAATACAAAAATTGAATATTCACTGTTAATTAAATTCATCGAAAGCCTTGCCACTTAAATTAATAAATTTTAAATTAGCATATTCATTTCTTCTTCTGAGACCTATCAAAAGTAAAACTAGAAAAGTGCAAAATTAACACTAAAACTACCTGACGAGTCAAATTGACCCACTTCGGAATCTTTATTTTGCAAGTATTTAAATGATAAAGACACTTTTGCGAAAGATTTTCAACTAAATTTGTATATTTGCACAGACACAAGACTAGAATCTCATTTGAATCTCAAGAAACGTATTGTTCGAATTTCTATTAACTCTTTGCACCCCAAGAGTTTTCTACTGAAACTACCCAACACACTTTCCGATGAAATATAGTGAACATTTCTTGAAGCTAAACGAGAAATCGTATATAAATTAAAGAAATAGGCTGTTTTATTTTAATATTTCACATATTAATGTACCATACGAAATTGAACATTAACTCTTTGCACTCGAGAGGCGCCTTCCAGTCGCCATTTGATTTGACTCAAGAAAATTGTAAAATTGAAAATTCAATATTAAATTTTATATAATGTACGAACACATGGAACATCGAAATAAAATAGTTCTGTCCCTTAATTTATTTAAGGGATTTCTTTATGTAATTGCCAAACATATCGTTGACATTTCATCAGAAAATAATGAATATTTACTGAGAAAAATATTCTCAAGTGCAAAGGGTTAAATATTATACTTCATAATTTTGCTGTACCAAATCACGTGGCGACTGAGATGCGCCTATGAAGTACAAAGGGTTAAAAATTGGAAATAAGTCACTCACTTGCTCGGTAGTTTTAGTGTTAATAATAAAATATTTCTAATTCATAGAGAGATAAAGAGGGAACAGTAGCTGAAACGAATCGTCTTTAACTTTCACAAGATCTGAAACATATGATCAACCTCGTGAATGGCAATTGGACTTTCGTGTACGTCATTCGCGATTCGCTAACAGGTTTAAATCTATCCTCGTGGAAATGTCTCGTCGGCATGATCTAATTGTCTCTTTAAACACATGCAATTCGTGCGCATTCCGCGTTTATGTAGCTTCTTCGCTTGAAGAATCCTGTGAAGCTATAAATCCATACGGTGCCCGGCGGAATTCTTCTGAAAGTGTGGGACTCATTTGAAGAAACTATTAGATACAATTTCTTAGCCCACGCCAGTATTGGATTTCAAAGCGGAGGATGATTTCGAAGAATCTATTCGTTTTAATATTCCATTGTTGAAATTGGTGTGTTAGTCATGCTACTTTGTTGAATCCAATATTCTAATTCTTGATACCTATTATAAATGACCTAACCGTTTTTCTATTTCAAAATGAAGTCTTTTCTAAAGGAATTTTTGATTCAAAACTTCTTGTAATTAATGGATTCATTTAACAAATATCTTAGCAAAATTCTAACCCAGATACAATAACTGTTATATTTCAAAATGAAATTTGAAATAAGAAATAATATATTTATCAATTGTGATCTCATCGGTAAGGTTGGATACAATTTTTGTTTAAAATTATTTTCTATAAAACCTTGGAGCTTCCCAAATAATTTTTTATTTTAGATTGAGTACGAATCTGATACTTTTTATGTTTTAAAATATATGTCTCACTGAGGAGATCTAATGATCTAAGGAATCTAAGATTTATTAATTCTAAAATTAAAATTAATTTCGTTTTCGTTTGTAATTTTTGTTTGCCAATTATAATCGTTTACGTAATCATAAAGAAATATTTCATTCGAGATTGTTTTCTGTCAACGGTAACAGTGCTTGCAAGAGGTTCTAAGAATGAATTGAAGAGACAAAAATTTGAGGGGATCGCATGAGATGAATGTAGGTGGCGCGCCACGCTTGCTGCAAACTTGAATTAAAGTCTCTATTCTGGCCAAATTAAACTTTTAACCCAAATAGGTCGTTCACTGCTATTTCTATCATTGTAAGAACATTTTGTTCTAGAATTTTTCTATTCAAGGAAACATTTGTGTCGAAACACAATTGACAATGAGCTTAATAACAAGGTATTTGTAATTATTTTAAGTAATTTCATTCTTACATATTAAATAAATTAATAATTTGTAGCAAAATGTTCTGTAATGTTAAAAACAATGAAAACAATAGCCTAAAGACTTATTATACACAATGTACCTCTATATATCATCATTTATAAAATTTAATAACTAAAACTGCAACAAAATCCTTTTAATATTTGTTTAAAAAATTCTTAATCCTTTAATATTGCCGTTTAACAATATATCTCTTATTTTTTTCTATTCTTCCTGGAGTTTCATTACGTCTCAAGAATGAGAATTGCTTCAAAAGTTTTAAGAACCTTGAGAATTTGTTTGACATAAATATGGAATAGTAAAGATACGATAAATGTATCGATATTGTAATAATTCCACAATAAACACCCTTCTCGAACGAAACAAAGAGACACGAATTTTTCAAATTATTTTTCTCTTACTTCTCGACTTAATCAACAATTAAAAAATATTTCATTATTTTCGAAAAATGTATGTATTAACACTAGAACTGCCAGGTGGGCTAAAACGTCTCATTTTGGATTTCTTCTTTTAGAATTAATGGGAAAATACAACTGATTTCCTGTGAAATTATTAAATAAATTTTTTCTATTATAATGTATGAATTAAAATAGAAAGATACAAGCAATTTTCTGTGAAACTATTAAATAAATTATTTCAAGAATGCCTAGATTAAAGTAGGTATAGCTAAGTCTATTCAAATTTTAACAAATGCATTCTTATAATCATTTTGTAACACTTTGGTCTAGAAAAAAATATAAATATAAAGCAGAAGGTTACAGTTATACATACAGAAAAAAACAAAACCTGTTACTTAATATTAACAGAAAAATGCCTAAAGTTTAGTTATGTATAAGACGTCTCCAAATAGTGTCCGCCCTTAACACTAGGTTTACAGAATACATCAATTTGATGCATATTGAATTTTATAAATATTATTTACTAAATTTTCACATCAATTTTGATCGATACAGTTGCACCAATATACGTATATCTTAATTCTCTGTTTTTAACACTAAACCTACCAAACAGTTGAATTGACTTTTTGAAATTCTTCTACAGCAACTTTAAGGGTTGATCTATCGAGACTTCAATCGATTTACAATTCAGTTTGCGTATTGCTAAATCAATTTTTTTAATAATTTCTAATTACTAATTACACGATCCAAATGAACGAACAACAACTTTGATACAAATAGTAGAATAAATAGTACAATAAACGTCCGTAAACCTAGTGTTAAGTTCGTAAACCGAGGTACCGCTGTATTTCGCTGTTCTTCTAGAAATTTTCAGTAAATTTTGCACAAGGATTTTCCCTATTTACATATCCGCCACAGTAATTGCCTGTGCGCGTCCTTGCCGGCCTGTATCGCGATGTTTAATTGATTCCCTAAACTGAACGAGTCTAATGGCCTGTTCTCAGCGAATCGTTCCCGTTCGCTAGCTGCGTTCCGACCACAATATTTCACGCACCGTGCCGCGTGCGTTGAATTCTCCTCGTTTCTGTCATTCCTCGACGCCTCGTTGCACAAATTTGTCACTTTGAAACACTCTGTTTGTCCAATTCCATCGCGACGATTTTAATTGGAAACTTTGTTTGATTAATGAAGTTCAATCACTAGTCTTTTAGCCAATACGACAGATACAAGAACTGTTATATTTCAAAATGGAGATTTGAAATAAGAGATAACGTGCCGTAATAAGTTTTAAAATGCAAGACATCCCGACTAATCTAACAAAATATAAAATTACGTTGCCGATAAGCTAATAATAGAAAAATGGCAAAAGTGTTCGCCACTTGTTAGAATACACTAAATAATTCTACTGAAGGAAAAACACTAATTCTATGATTCAATTAGCATACTTTTGTTAGAATTATGTCACTTTCCTGGGAACGAAAGTTGCTCAAAAAGAAAAGTATAAACTTGCTAAACGAATAAAATATGCGAACCTGAATAGTATTTTTAAGTTAGTCTATGAATTGCATAATATTTTCTAACGTGCCTGTGTTAATTTATTCAATGACGCAGTTTTACGTCATAGGAAATCAGCTGTTACTTGTCGGAGAACGAAATTCTATGTCAATGGTGTTCGACTGCAGATTGATCTTAACTTCTACTTCAATGGTCCATTGAAATGTTGTCGAAGAATCGTAACAAAACACAACGTTTCGAAGGTTCGGTTGACCTCTAACTTCGCCCAATGAACAATTAGCAATGAAAAGCGTTCGATTATAATTTCGATCGTCGAAGAAACAATTCTAATGAAGTTTGGACAGTACGTTTTCGGAAAATCCAGGAAACGAGGCATTTAACGCGTCCGCTCGCGAATGATGCACGTTCGAAACTGATAACACCGGTCGCTTGTAATGAATACTGACGCTGTGAACCTATTTATGGTTGGTCTTTTTTTTTTCATCGTTTGACAACAGCTTCGAGCTTTGTATCAAAGACGACGCGGAACTAACTCAGCAACCAATTTTCCGAGAGTAGTAAAAATCGAAGAAGATAATTAAAATGGTAACTAAGAAACTTTGCCAGGTTATTAACGATACTCAATGTATACAGAAGTATCCTTACTTTATTTTAAGTTATATTATTTTCTAGGAAACTGTTCTAGAAAATTATTACTATAATCTTGAAATGTTTCAATAATAATGAATTTAGAATTACATTACGAATATCTGATTGACAGAAAGGAATGAATATTATTTTCTATGTAACATTTGTTTAACTAGTTAATTAACTATTAAATATTTTCAACGTGTCACTTTCTTACCTAACCTTAACTAATAGGTTAACTATTAAATTGAGTAATCTTAAAAAGTATATTAAGGATACGTTATTTCTCTTATCTAAATTACTTAAAACGAGAAAATGAATTGTCACTAATCAAAGAAACACTTACAGTTAAAGATATTGTTATTATTACACAAGACTTTGGAAACAGATTCTAACGGACCATTTTATTTCAACCAAATTCATACCAAGCTCCAAACTTATGAACGACAGCCTCCAAAGATAGAACACGAGTCAAAATTAACCTATACAGTGGCGAGGCCAAAGGAAAATGGAAAAATACCCCGAGTGAAACGTGGAAAACCAGAGAATAACACGAATGATCGATCGTCAATAAATTCTTACCGAGCACAATGAACGACACGGTGTGCTCAGTTGACATCGGTCCTTGAACAACTTGATACCGAACGAGGTACCTGTTATCGTGAAGACGGAGAGACCAGCGCTTCAATAAGTCGTGGCTGATGCCAGATAATTGAAACGACTTTGCATTGGGGCAGAGTCAAGTGATGTAGGTTACACGTTCGAGCAAACAAACAATCTGTCCCATTCGGAATCGAACGGCAACGGGCACGCCATTTTCTGTTCTTTTTCGTAATTACCATTTCTAATTACACCCCTACCGTTTCTTTCATCCTCGGAGAATATCGATGACGATTAAATAGAACGATTTAATGAAAAAGAAAAAGGAAAAGGAAAACGAAAGAGAACGTTCCTTTTTTGACCACGCGTCGCTCAAGTTTTAGCTAACGGTGCGCCTCGCCAATGGAACCTTTGCTCGGGCGGGCGAGGGTCAATTGGTTATTAACTCGGACAGCCGTAACGGCTATTAAACCGTTTCATTGTCATGAATATTACCGTGAAAAAAGCGGGTAAATCACAATCGTCCGTGAGTCACTCCAGAAATCGGGAAACATTGATCGAACTGCGGCGACGTTTAGGTACGATCTTTCGTGGACATTTTTGGAGCAGGGGTTCTCAACTTGAACTGGAATCGACGGTACAAGATGTTTATTTAAATAGCGTTTACAAAAGTATCGATATTTTGTGGGAGGAGATGAAGATATGTTACCGTGGTTCCTAAGATTCTGATCAGTTGAGAACCACTGTCCGATGGTATTTTAAATAGAGCATGTCCTTCAGGCTCTCGACACTCCCAACAGACGCCATGTTGATCGCGAAATGATCCTGTGCTCATCAGTTACGATACAAAATAGGGGATACCCTAACCACTTCATCAGTTATATCCTTTAGTTTCCCTTTAACTATGGTCCATGACTTAAGATAAAATTCTGCTCCACGGAAAACGTTACATTTTCAATTGTATTGACCTTGCTATAATATTAAATAAGTTCTGGACAGTAAAATTTAAAAGAGAACCTCTAAGGCACCAGTAACTGCCAAGTCCAATGCAGTACTGCTGAAAGCAATCCAAGAAGTTCCCAAACTAAATGGAGTCCAGCAGGCCAAGTCCAATAATTCAAAGCGCAAGTAATCTCTAAAAATGACTAATAGAGAAGAATACTATCGACAATTTTCCAAAATACGAAGGAACCAAATGATCATTTTAAATCCAGCCTCTAGACCCAGTCATCCCAAGGTTCATCTTTCTTTTATCTCTCAACGAGAACCTCCTATCGATTCTTCGTCGTCCAGTCCTTATCAAGCCCTGTTATCAATTTATCTCACCTGCCGGACGTTGACTTCACGGATCCATTCGCGTAGAGATCGGCTGCCATGTCACTCGCCTCGGCCCGCTAGCATATCTCCCTTAGCGTCTGGGGGATCTCTTCGCCTAGCCAGCCGGAGGACTCTCTCTCAGCCCCGTTAGCCCGTTAGAACTTAGTCTTTCCCGCGCGGCGGTCTATTGTCAACCAGAAAAAGAACCAGTTCACTGACAACGGTCAACCTTGACCGGGTTCGTTCTCACTGGACCGGCGACCCGCTCCCGAAACGCGGCCATTGAAACCCGTCTGCCAGGACCCGGCATCGCGATCGATCCTTTTCTCGAGATTCCCTCTTTACGATCCCAGTTTTCGATTCTACGCGAAATAGGGGATTAACTTGGGGGGGTTAACTAAGACAGCGTGGACGCAGACTCGACGCACACGGAGAATCGTCACTGTTGCCAGAGACGCGGTCGGATCATCCTGAGCTCGGCGTCGACTGAACTATGTCAGACGGGGGCACTGTCAATTGGATAACTACCTACCCGCACACCGACGTGTACACCGCGCGAGGAATACGTGTTGATAGCGTTCCAGGCTGACCACCGGGGCCCTCGGGACGCCCCCACCTCCTCGAAAGTGTTAATTCAAACTTTTAATTTCGACTGCTGCTGCCGTTGCGTTTCATCTTGGCTGTCAAGTCGCTTTGGAGCTATGCCTGTGGGTTTATCTTGGAATGAGAGATTCATGATTTTGATCATTCATGTTGGGTACGGTTTCGTATACATCTTTTGGGAGTTTCATATGGTTTTCTGGTTTATGGAAAGTGGCTTCAGCGGTGTTTATGGGGTTCTTTTATCTTCGAATCGAGGCTGATGGTCTTGATCCTTTAAGATGTTATTTACTTGATCTGTGAAGAGTGAGATTGTACAGCCAGGTTTTTCTGAAAGCTTGAATGGTTATCTCTAATGAGGGATTGATGATTTTGATCCTTTATTTTGACCATGTTTCGGTACAGGTTTCTTGGGGGTTGTATATGGTTTTCTGGTTTATGGTAATTTGTTTCAGCGGTATCTATGGATTTCTTTTATTTTGGAATCAAAGCTTGATGTTTTTAATCTTCTGAGATGTTGAGTATGCTTTGATCTAAAGTTTGTGGGAATTTTGAACGGTTTCTTGGTTTATGGTGATTGCTTTCACGTGGATAATGTTGGTTGAGGTTTAAAGAAGTTTGAAAAGGGATGAAATGCATGCTTGAGCAAAATGAATTTTGCTTTTTGTGTTCTCCATTCTGAATGAGACTCTTTTAATTAAATTTGAAACTTTATATTGATTAATTTGTTGTTTGAGGACTTCACTTGGCAAAATTGATTACACAATAATGAAAACCTGTTAGTGTTTGTAGTAAACTTAAATTAGGATCACAGACACGAAAAGTAGTACAATGTCTCAAGAATTAAATGATGCACGTCTTTCCTCTTTAGCCACTGGAGCCATCCTTAATTGTATAGCTGGTCAAGCTTTGTGTGTAACACTTCTGTGGAAAATTCATTCATTGCAGTCAACTGTAATTTACTGTTCACTTGTTATTCTTCCATGAAGATTGTTGAAAAAATGTTTAATACACCATACCATTAAATATAATAGACTTAATTATTTTTTTCATTAATATACATACCATGAAGCACCAAAATACAAGAATAATCATTTTTATTTACAGTTGTTTTTAATATGTATACTAATATTTAATAAACAGAATTATTAAAAAGCATTCAATTATTCATAAATTTCTCCTCCATTTCTCAATAAAATTAATGAAACTAAAAAAGAAAAGTTAACAAGTATTATATTATTAATTATAAACAATTATTAAATACGACTATTATATGCAAAGCATACTAAAAAATAAGTCACTGTATTCTATGAACATAAATTAGAGCAGTAAACTAATATCTTTCTGCACTAAAAACAGTTTATTTAAAAGACAAGGTGAAGTGTAGCTATATTATTTATGGATCAGGATTAATTGTTTATTTTTGACAATGTAATTTCTTACTTTTCACCGTTCATCTCGTCTCTGGATAATACTGTACACGACAGTACAGTTAGCTCGAAGGCAACGCGAAACGTAGCGATCGCCACGGGGAAGAGTAATTTATATCGTACGACGCGAAGCACGTCAGCGCAATCACGATCGACCTTGCTGACCGGTTCATACTGTTTTTCGCGGGATTAATATCGTCTTCAATGAATCATCAATAACGTCATTGCGACTCCTGACGCTATTGTGTTATCAAAAACTGCAAGTTTGATTAATTATATCGAATTTAAATTCCAAAGGAAAAGCAAAATAAACAGTAATTATGAGTCAAATTCAAACCGCAACGCTTCTCCATGAAAAAAATAAAATAATATAAAAATCTTTGTACGAAAGGGCTAAATTTTTATTTAAAAATAATTAATTAAAATTATTATAGTAATTATACGATCCTCTTCCATTAAAAAAATTTAATATACGATTTTTGCTTATTTTTATTAATACATTAGCGTTAATATCCCCTTTGTCAATTTTCAAAGATATTTTACTATAAGTTTGCTATATCGCAAAATAAATTGAATAAGTAATAAATAAATAAAAATTCGTCAGTAAAAATTATTGCAGATTTGACAAGCTTTGTGTAAGGTAAGCGAAACATTTAATCGAATGTCAGATTCATTAATGATCGCAGGAAATATTTTTGGAAATGTCGTCCGGTTAATGTGGAAAACGGACATTGTATAAATTGAATTGACAAAGGCGTTGCAGTCGACATTGCTGTTCTTTAATCAAATTTTCTGGCGTTCGCGTTGCGTCATCTGTTAAAATTCAAGCTTTGACGGAGGTCTCAGTCAGCGTTAGAGACCTATCAAACTTGATAAAGCATAAATCGTGCGCGGAGGGTTCTGCTAAGTGGGAATGGAAGTGGAGTGAATCGGTCGTTTAATAATGTAACTGACAAAACGGTAGAACGATCGTCGATTATTGATGGCTCCGCTCGGAACATCTGACTCCTCAATGCTCCTTACCGTGGAACACAAATTCATCATCTAGCAATATTCCTGTTCAGTTAGATGTAATCAGTAATACAGTCAAATCTGATAGAAGAATGACAAAGTGCCATATCTAATTTCAATATCTAAGAAAACTAGTATTCAATAATTTTGAGAAATAAAGTCTTAGATCCTCATCAAAATAGCTGACTTTTATTAAAAATATCGAAGATGAATAAAAAAGTTAATGGAGTGTAGCAGGAAATGATTTGAATTGCACATAAGGAAAATTAGACTTGGCGTAACAAATAGAGTCATATTAAGTCTAAAGAAATAATAACAAAAATATAATAATATTACAGTAGTCTTATTAAAAATATTGAAACTGCATTAACATTATATTTTCGTTATTATTTCTTTAGATTTAACATGGCACATTTGGTACACTAAATTTAATTTTTCTTATTTACAATTTAAATCATTTCCTGTTATACTACCACACTCTATTAATTATATTATTCATCTTTATTAATCTTCATTTATCATATGAATGATATTGAAATAAATTAATTCACAACAAGAAATATAAGTATCCATTAAATAAAATAAAATAAAAAAAATGAATATGTTTATTTTTTTACTTGAAACACAAATATCCATTCAACCCCAATTTTTCTTAATTAATTTATAGATATTCCTAAACACATTTATTATTTCCTGTTATGTCTAATTATGTTTATTTTTTCCTTTGACAGGTCATCACTTTGGCAGTTTTGGTGAAGGCTTCGTACGACACCTGTAAAAGATGCAACGTTAGTTACATGGTAACAAAAAGAGCACCACGAACGGCTGCCCAATATCTCTACAATCCGCGCATACACGGCCCCCTCGAGAATCAAGTTTCCTATTTGTCGGAGGACAACTACGCCGAAGAACAGGAACCAATCCAAACTGAAGAACAGTCCCTGAATAGAGATAACAGAAATTCATTACCGGTCAGTTTTGTATTCAACATGGAAAAATAAATAGTCTTCTTGAAAATAAAGTTCTACGCTTTCATTATAGGAGTACCGTGACCTTTGCGAAATAATAACTAAAAAGGTACAGCTAGATGATAGTGAATATGAGTATCTACCGCCACATTACCATGAAGTTTATTGCAAGAACTATCCTTTCTATGGCAATGAGCAGGCCACTGTGAACTTGAAGCAGGTACATGGAAAATGGCAGATATTTCTTTTCCTTTCCCATAAGTTTTCCTGTCACAGTAAAAATAATTCATTTTTTTTCATTAATTTAGGAATGTGTAAATCCAGGATTTCATTGTGTACAAAGAAGTAAGACCTTGTTCTTGGTAAGACGACGATGGGACAGCGAATGTTGGGAACCATTTGTTAAGAAGATTGCCAGTGGCTGTGACTGCATGTGGCCAGTATCTGTACTCGGTGATATAAGCGGTCACTATTGATTTTCGTTATGGATGAGGTTGAAAGGGATCAGAATTTAATGATTGGGGCAGAATAATCGAAGAACAGTAATAAAGGAGAAAGACTTGTTTGTGATTGTCCCACCGAATGATCTTATTCCATCGGCGAGCGTTTATTTGAAAATATAGTCATATAAAATCTTTCTCTCTTTATGACAATTTACTTTACATTATTATCCGCCGTTTTTCCACGAGTTCGCCTTGTGTTTTGGCAAAAAGTGGAATCCCTCAGGAACTTTTCCTAGTAACATTTCCCTGAAAGAAAAGAACGTTGATAGGAGATTGTTTGAATAAATATAATTACACTTATGTGGATAAATAAAGTTATACTTACGATAATTTAATCCAGTCAGCACAATTTGAACTGGCCATTAATGTTTCCATATCGTTACGACCGCGATAAAATGGTGGTCTCTCGTTTATTCTTTGCGGAGGCCTTTCCAAAATGCCAACAGGAATGTACCTAATCCAGTCATCAAATTCATGTGTAGTTTGTCATTGAGAAATTATGATTTAAGATACAATACACTTACCTATGTAAAAAGGATATCCATTCCAGCATAAATCTTCTTGTTGTTTCAACGCCACGAGTATCTGAACCCCAATGTTCAAGACCATAATTAGCATATTTCTTCAGAATGTCATACCTTTCAGAACTAGAAATATCTATTAACTTCTTTTCCTTTATTTCAGTGAATATCCATGGTTTTATTAGTGCACCGCGACCTATAGTAATGCCTTGTACGTTTGTGTAGGTATTTTGAATCCTTTGATAGTCATCAAAAGATAAAATATCACCATTGCCAAACACAGGTATAGGTTGTGCCGCCTTTGCACATTTATCTATATACTCCCAATCAGCTAACTTTGTGTATCTTTGTTCGCGTGAACGTCCATGAACCTATAAACATAATACCTACTTTGTTATCAAACTGTTTATCATATCATACTATATGTGTAGCTCTACATTTTGAAAGATATAAATAACTTACTCACAGTAATCATGGATACACCCCACTCACGAAACTTTGGTATTAGATTATGAGCAATTGGTTTATCAATATAGACACCTGTTCTAGTTTTTACAGTTAAAGGGATATCCAAAACTTGACTGACAGATTTTACAACTGTTTCTAGCACATTCAATCGATTAAGCATTCCACTTCCACCTCCCTGTCTATAGATTAAGTCTATAGGGCAACCCAGATTCAGATCGATGTAGTCAATGTCAATTTCTTTATTTAATAGTTGTGCACATCTTGTCAGTACACCTGGATTGTTACCACAAAGTTGTACACCAAATATGTCCTCGGATTCGTGTCTTTTAACAAGTGCCCATTCCTCGTGTGCACCTTTCAATATTCTGGGAGCCAAGGCCATCTCTCCACAAGTTATATCAGCTCCATACTCTTTACAGATTCTTCTGAAAGGCAAATTTCCTACTGTTGTCAAAGGACTCAATAGTATTTTATTCTTCCAATCAATTTTTTTCTTTTCCGAATCCCTGCATTTTACTAAATCATAATCTTCAACTGGTCCAAGCTTTTGCTCCGTATTATCTGCTGCAGGAGATTTGTTACTAGATTCAGTTATGGACACATCTGTAGCAGAACCATTCTTCATTTCACACTTATTTGTATCTGTGGGTCGCTCACTTTCTTTTTCTATGACTGCTTTCTTTCTAGATGGTTCATTTGCTTTAACAATTTTCTCAGCTTCGGAGAAATTATATTTATGCTTTCTCAGTTGCATTTGAAGATTTTTTGTTAAATGATTCTTAGTTGAAGGAGATTTTTTTTTAAAATCTTCCTCCTTTTCCTTATCAATAATGTTTAAACCATCCTCCGTTAGATGTTTAGAACCCATTCTACAGGCAGCACCCCTGGGACACTTACCCGTTAAATTAAACAGATAACATTCTGTCCCGATATCATCTGGCTTTATTTTTAAATACTCAATTCTATCATGTAAAAATGTGCAACGTTTATTATCACATTTCTTCTCAGGTTCATCTACTGTTTGATCCGCTATCCAGGGACATAGGTTCACCTGACGCTGTGCCTTAAATGGAGCAGGTCTGGCTTTATTTTGACCCCTAAGCTTCTCCTTTTTAGTATCATTCTTGAATTTTTTATTTGGGGGTTCATCAGTTGCAGCTGCATCCTCCTCTGAATTATCCGCATGGTTTGAAATCTTTTGATTGTCACTCTCTGTTACACCCTCTTCTTTCAAAGACTTGACATGATCTTCAAGAATATATCTGCAAAAATTTTAATAAAATTAGCTATGTATTCTTAAAGTTTTACTTGTAACCACGCGGTCGTCAGAATTGAAAAATGTATAGATCCCCGTTTTGTATGGGAATAATTGGCAAACGAAAAAGCAATCCTTCAAAGATTCAGTAATATTTACTTACTCCGCTTTGATTAAACACACTCCTTTTTGCTTATCCTCGCTATAATCAAAGGAACATTCTTCTGTACATTTTTCACTGTAAGTCGCCATTTCAAATCAATCGATACATCGAATCCAGCTCGAATATTTAAATTTTAAACGTCCGTTATCACAATTTCTGTTACACGTCAACGGTTACTTGAAACCAATCTTTTGCAATTATTAAACGCATTTTCTTAGATTTCTCTTATTACCACATTTTATGAAGATTAATTTAATCGTTTGGTATTAAAACAGATTATTGACTCAATTCACCGTTATTAAAATAGAATGTTGAGCTGTCCTCAATTTATCTACAGTTGGTAAGAACATAAAACTTTGGCCAACAGATGATATTGTTGTGATATAAATTTGACAGGTTAAATAGAAAATAAGGAATATTTTACATATAATATATATGATATTATCTAGAAGTCTCTTACTTCCTGGTAAACTATTATAATTATTCTAAATATGCGATAAAAATGCAACAAAATTCTAGACAATAACACTCAAGGACAATAGCTTATTCCCCACTATGACTCGTTTTCACGTGTCCGGCACTCACACGATTAACATTTTTTAACGAAGAGAAGTGATCGGTAAGCCTGAACACGCTAAAGACGATTAAAAGCAGTATAGATCCATGACATAGGTCATGGCGAGATATTTCTATCAGTTCCATCAATGAAAGACGTCGCGGTATATTACTCTGGTAAGTCAATATTCTTGTCTTTGCGTAACGATAACAGATACATATCGTTTTTTGATTATTCAAGATATATGCTAAGTTTTTGTTCTTTTCTCATAAATTACCGACAAAACTGACAATTATAGCTAACTTATAAGTATAATAAAAGTAAAAACATTATCTTAATTCCCGCGAACTTATTGATAGTAATGTCAGTTTCTGTGTGAAATTATGGGTTTAAGTGATAAGGAAAAATAAGTGATGCGATCTTTTAACTAAACATTGTATTGTGTTATCATATCAAGGAAATTAAGAACATCAGAAGGCAATACTGTAATTGTGTTATGAAGTAGAAGTTACTATTATTATGCAGCACTTGATTAATTTTATGAAATATTATCAGAGTCACAATTGTGTTACTTAAGTTCTTTTTGATAAATACTTTTTTTTCTGAATAAAATGCCATTTCATATGAATTACTTTGACCTTATAAATGATTAACATATTGCATAATTGACATCATAAGTAATGAAATTTATTAATTCTATTATGGTAAAGCTATAAAAACACGTAATGATTTCTATAAATAATTTATTCTGATTTCTATAAAGTATTATCTGAGATAATTCATAAGTGTTAAATGTTGTATCCAACAGTAAAAAGGCTCTAGTGCTACAATGTTACAGTCATAAATTCTATTCTTAGTAAATAAGAGAAGCAAATGCCGTTTAACATGTACCATAAACGTACAAAACATAGTATCAGAGATTACAGCATAGTATAAAGGTATCTGGAATAGGTGGTCTAATTTGAAGTGGATTTTAGATTGTTCTTAGTGTTACTTTTAAAATATTCTTTGTTATTTTAAACATGTAAAGTCAGTTATTTTTTTTTTATAATAACAAAAAGAATATAACATTAAATCTAATATATGTCTTTTATATATTGTATTTTTTAACAAAAGAATTGGCAATATGAGTGAACCAAGTTTACAATGGGAGGATTATTTGGTCATAGCAGCCACATTAATCATAAGTATAGGCATTGGTATTTACTATCGTTTCAGTGGTGGACGTCAAAAGACTATGGAGGTATTTATGTCAGCATTTTCTTGTAAACTACAATTTGCAATTAAATTTCTGAACAAAATTTGAATAATGTTACCACCTTAATAGGAATATTTCGTAGCTGGCAGATCAATGAGTATCATTCCTGTTGGAGTAGCACTTGTAGTATCCTTTATGTCAGCTATTACTTTATTAGGTGTTTCTGCAGAAAACTACACATATGGGACACAATTTGTAGTAATTAATATATCATATCTCATAGGAACACCGATTGTTTGTTATGGATTTTTACCAGTATTCTTTAAACTTCAAGCAACAAGTGCTTACGAGGTTTGTTATAACAAGTAAATACAAGAAAAGACATTGCAAAATATCAGACTTAAAAGATTTATTACTTCTTTTTAGTATCTAGAAAAACGCTTTGGTGTAAAAGCTAGGCTTATGGCCAGTTTTGTGTACTGGATTCAGTTACTTTTGTACTCAGGTGTTGTGCTTTATGCGCCTGCTTTAGCGTTAGAAGCTACAACAGGAATTTCTAAGACAGCCAGCATTATTATTATTGGATTAGTTTGTACCTTCTACTCGAGTATAGGAGGCATTAAAGCGGTTCTAATAACAGACGTATTTCAAGGGATACTTATGTTTGTTGCTGTTTTTATTATTATTGGCACAGCTGCCAATGAAGTTGGAGGATTAGGTGAAATTTGGCGCATAGCAGAGGCTGGTGGTAGAGTTGAATTTGACAGGTACTTTATTTTATAATAGAATTTAGTTAAAAAGTTTCTGTGTTACTTAGAAAAGTAAATGTTTTTCCAGTATTTCTCCAGATCCAACAGTGAGACATACATGGTGGTCTCTTATTATTGGAGGCTTGTGTACATTTTTATCATTGTATGGTGTGAACCAAGTACAAGTACAACGCTTATTGACTGTGAAGTATGTTTTTTCATAACTGAAACATAGAAGCAATTCTGGAGATATATTACTATTAATGATTATTGTGCTTTCAGAGACCTGAAAGCAGCACAAACTGCACTTTGGATAGCATGGCCAGTTTTAACTGTACTTTCAATGACTACGTGTTTCTCAGGATTGGCAATATATAGTAAATATTACACATGTGATCCTCTTAAAATGAAAAAAATAACATCATCTGATATGTTGATGCCATACTATGTTATGGACACCATGTCTGATAAACCTGGCATACCAGGCCTCTTTATAGCAGGTAAAATTTCTATTTTATATTGTTATATAAATAATAAAAATTTTAAGAATTTATTACTATGTATATATTTTTTGATATTCACGCACGTAGTGATACGCGAAGATTGATTAGCTTTGTACTTGATTTTTGCTTAGGTATTTTTAGTGCTGGTCTCAGCACAATTTCAGCAGCTTTGAATTCTTTAGCTGCAGTAACTTTAGAAGATTATTTAAAACCTGCCTATAGGAAATGTCGTGGCGATGACTTCTCTCTTACAGTTTCAACAACTCTAGCTAAATTGCTTGCTTTCATATGTGGAATTATTTCCATTGCTTTGGCATTCTTAGCTCAATTGTTGGGTGGTGTATTACAGGTGATTGCTTCAATAATTAAGCAGTATATTGATATTCGTTATGCTTTCAAATGATAAATATTTAATTTGATATAGATTATAAAATTATTAAATTTTATTTTAACTGTTATTATAGGTTAGCCTAACCATATTTGGTGTGGTGGGGGGTCCACTTTTAGGACTCTTCACACTTGGAATGCTCACTGAATCAGCAACAGAAACTGGATCTGTAACAGCTGCTATTGGATCATTAGTTTTTCTATTTTGGATCGCCTTTGGGCAACCTAGACCAATTCCACCAACATTGCCAGTGTCCATTGATGGTTGTTACACGAATACAACTATATCTATGTTGCATCAAGCTGCAAAGTTTGCGAAGTAAGTAGAAAGATACCTACTACAATTTTCAGTTTCCATGAAAATTAGCTTAATTTTGTATTAATACAATATCAATTTTCTCTTTACTTTAGACCAACAGGTGATTCATCCTACTTTTATCTCTATCGGATCTCCTACATGTGGTACTGTCCACTAGGATTTGTGATGACATTCGTCTTAGGACTGTTACTTAGTTATTTTCTTAACATGCTACACAAGAGACAAAAGGCTGAATTGGATCCAAATCTTTATTTTCCCATAATAGGGAACCGTATTCGGCGTAGACAAGCGATTCTAAAAACAGATGACGGCGAGACAGTACACGATACGGCGAAGTACACATTTACTGTCGTCTCCCGTGACGACACAGACAATAGTGGCGAAGTTAGCAGCACCAGAATATAGTACACTTTTATTGATTCTCATTTAATTTCTTTTTCGTTAATTCATTGTATGGCATCTTAGATATTAGACATTCCACACGTAATTGAAGGTATAGAAATTGGTTATGTCAGCGGTTTCCATATTTTTATTAATTGATAAGCTAAAAATATGGCGGGAATTGCGACGTCATTGTAGTGGGATTGATAAATTGTGATTGAAAGGGGAAAATATTGTATTTTAATTGTAGATGGGATTTTCTCTTAGTATTTTAAATATTGTTTTCGTAATTTCGTATTCGTGGCACTCCTTTAAAGTTCCTAACCGAGACTACTACTCAGTGTCACGTAAAGCAATCTTCAAGGGACTCCCCCTCGCAGAATTTCTCAAATTTTACGAAATTACGAGGACAACACTGTATTTCGTTCGTAGCTTTTTAGTCACACTTACGGTTTCGGTTTTTATGATATTTATAAGTTTAGCTGAGCGTCAGCTGGTCTGGTGAACTGCGTAAACTTTTAGATTCTTTGTGTTGAAGCTCTAACATATGTTATTATTATATGAACGTGTACTTAATTGCCGAACGTCTTCCTAGACTGCCATTTTTGTATATTTTCTACTTTTTAAACGCAAGAAGCAATGTCAACGATCATGACCAAACAAGACGTTGTGCTTTCAGTGCGTTGTTCGTGAATCACCGTACAAAATAACATAACTTTACTGACTTAAACAGTATATTCAACGTGTGTACTTAATTGGATTTCATAAACGCGAGCTAGTTTATACAATATTAAATACTAAAAAAAAACTTGATGATGTTTATACAATAGAAGGTACAGACATTTTGTATGCACCGTTAAGTATGCTAAGAGAAGCAGCATGTATTTTTTTATGCTCAACGATAAAGTATTAATAGCATTTAAAGCATAGAAATTGTTGTCCAATGTATACCAAAACGATGTACAATAAAGTAACATGTGTGCGTTTGTGTGTGATCGTATGAAAGAAATGTAACAACGACAGTTCTTTCTATTTTGCTATTAATTTATCTTGATGAAGAGTGAAGTAGATAATTAGAATGAAGTACAAGGCAATTGAGCAGCAGGAATGAGAATTCGTCTGGCTATAACCAAATCGATTTAACTGTGCTGAGCAAACCCCCACTGTCACATATAATTCCAATTAAAAAACGAATTGTGATTCCTTTTATCATCGACCTTATCATTAGTAACACAATAACATCATGCAAAACTGTTACTGTTTCAAAGAATAAAAAGGCTTCTTCAATGCATATATCGTAGTTATCACTGAGTTCTTAAATTACTAGTTCAATTGTTTCCTTCCTCACCATTTACACTTGACATTATTTCACATAATAGTGATTTTTATTTCTTTAACTCCATCAGATTACTGATATTACAAAAGCTGACATAAATTTCGGTTGAATAGCCCTTAGCTTTCTACTAGAATTTTAACACCTCTACCTATTTAAAATGCAAATGTAAACTGAACCCTAAGGGACCATAAACTCTTTTGCGCGTTAAAGAGAGAATCTTCTGTGAAAGAAGGACAGTCTAAGGTTATCAATATTACAAAAGCTAACATGAAGTTTGGTTGAATGGCCCTTTGATTTTCACTAGAATTTTAGTACCTCTACCTATTTGAAATGCAAATCTAAACTGAACCCTAAGGGACCATGAACTCCTTTGCGCGTTAAAGAGAGAATCTTCTGTGAAAGAAGGACAGTCTAAGGTGCTTTTGAAAGGAATACCGACCAGCTCAGATCAAACTACCGGCGGCCAGTTGAAACCAGTTTCAATTTGTCCGTGGTCTCCTATCGGCGGCATGGGACTCTTTTTAATTATTTATCCAGCGAAACTGTTGTCCACGTCGTCCTACTCAACTAGCAATTAATCCATCAAGAAATCCAGTTGGCGTTCCATCTTCCTCGGGACGAGGTGTCGAATGTCTTGATGACCTCTAACCTCTGGAACAACAAGGTTTCCGTATTACCAGTGGATTATTGAATTGATAGTGTCAATGGAGTCACTTGTCACGCGTAGATCACGAATCTTCGTGCACTTATTCTGAAAAACTAATCTAGACAATTTAATAAAATAAATATTTAGATTATTGCTCCTGGAAGTGAACCTTTTTTTATTATTTCTATTAATTGTTAATTATTTAATTCTTCTATTGTTTAACTTTTCAATATTTTCAGCATCATTTGTAGTTTTTAATAAAAATTATATTTAATTTAAAATTTTTAATGATTCGATTTAAGTCACTTTGTTGGAACGACGTTGCAGACCTTTTTAATTTACCTGTTGCTCTTGTTACTTACAAATGAATACATTGCAAACTTCTGACAACTTGGTGTCAACCGTTTCTGTTTATTTTCATGGGACTCTCCCTCTGACCTGTTCTCCTCTCTCTCTTGCTCCCTCTTGACCTTATTTAGCGTGGAGTCTTGTGATGTGTGTTTAGACGTGCGTTCTTTGAAGAAATTTTGTTTAACGAAAGGGTGAGTGACGATTATTAATTTTCTTCGACAGTTTGGTAATTTGATTTCTACGACATTTTAGCGGAAAAGATTCTAAATAAAATTGTTGATCTTTTTCATGAGCTTAGTTTGCAAGAAACGTGGACATTTGTTTAATTTCGCGTGTGTCATCACGTTCACACGACCAATTTTATTCGAACGTCTTCACTTTTACGCACGTGTCAACGTTGATCACTACAAGCCCAACTGTCAATGATCTGTTATGCAATTGTTTATAATTCATCTCTCTGATAAGAACTAATGTAAAAATTTGAAAAATACTCTGAAAGAATAGAAAAGAAAATTATTACAACACGGCAGTAATAAGAAAAAAACATATACGTGAATAAATATTTGCTTTTTGTACTTTTGAATAAATTTTCCAACAAATTTGATAGAAAGCTAATGCAAAAATTTGGCAAATACCTTGAAAGAATAGAAAAGAAAATTACTGCAATACGAAAATAATAAATAAAAATATAAATGTAAATAAATATTTTCTTTGTATCTCTGAATAAATTTTTTAAAGAATTTTATAGAAAATTGAAATAATTCAATTTTAAAGTTTCGGAGAAGTTCGCAAGACAATTGAAAAGGGAGTGTCGCAGATAATAAATTATCCAAGTGTTATTCAAACAAGTCGAGTCATTGACCCGAAGAGTTGCCCAAGAATCTAGTTCAGCGTACTTAAAATTCTGTTTTCCTCAACGAAAATATGGCTTGCCCAACATTTTTGTAGTACCTTTCGAAACTGAGTCATTAGATATTCTAATAAGCTGAAGGGAACTTTCGAGTTTACTAATTCTATCTCAAAGTTTTCTATAACCACTGCTCGAATTAAAATTCAAGCAAAACTGCTCTTCAAACCCTTCAACTCACAGCTGCGAATATTCTGAACATCAATCTTTCCACTTAAAATGATGATTAATAAAACCAGCAGAAAAAGAATTAATTCTACGCCTGATTCACCGTTTTAATTACGTAAACTGTACGCACGTGTTATTAAGCTAAGTTAAACTGTACTGCAAGTTTGGGTCTAAGAAATGCAATAAAATTTTAATTGAAACTCAGAATTGAGAATCTTGGGATACCAGTCTACTCTTGATAATCTTTTGGTTGTGACTTTTTGTTATTTAATGTTGTTTGTAATTTATAAGGAAATGTGATTTTTGACGCTTGAAACGGTCTACTTTTCTAGACTAGTAGTCTACTTTTGCACGAAATAAGCTTTACTTCAAAAAATCTTCGTTCGCAAAGGGTTAATAGCAGTAACCCAAAAAGTATTAAAATTGATTAAATGAGCCGTATTTTTTTAAAGTGGTACAAGTCCGTTTTTACATATACTAAGATATTTAAGAGTTTACGTTTGAATCAACTTGAAAATATTGGCAAACGTAAACCAATTTAGGTAACGTTTATAAAACCATAAACTGTGCAATAATAATTAATAAAATTGTAATATCAGAGATATCTGTATCTCACTAAAACTACCATTGATTCATTTTTTCCAAAAATGGACTTATACCGCTTCCAAAAAAACGACTTAAAAATGGATTTATACCACTGTAAAAAGAAACGGCTCAAATTCGTCTCACAAGATGACGGAGGTTGATGAAAAATGGTTCGTGTACTGAACACCGAGGAAAGCACTGATCGTTTCGAGTGTGCTCTCGTTCTAGGCGGCAAACTTCGTCAAAGGGTTAAACTAGCGGGTCACTGGAGAGGCAGGACTTTAAGGAAACGCGTCACTATCGTCGTTTATTTACTACCCCGTAAGTTGTAACCGGTTGGATCCTGTTCCAATTGTCCGCCACCACGGATTTCACATGCACTCCCAGCTTGCCGAATCGATATTTCGCGTTCGAATCTCCAGCTGATACAGGAGCAGTGATGTCCTATCAACCCTCCTTATCGCAACGAGCCTCCGACACGATCGTGTCGTTGTTCCAGCTGCCACGATCGCGTGCAAGAGTATTATCTGCTTCGAGTCTACCGTCGGAGAAGATGAAGAATCGAGAACGTAAGTCCATGGTGCTGAAAATCGTCGATGTTCATTGATCGTTGATCTGAGATATCTTTGTTTTTCAATATTATTCTGTGGGAACATTGGTTAACTCTATTAATTTAGTTCCTAGTGCTGAAATGTATTGAAATCAATTTATTGTTAGTCTGAGATTTCTTTGTTTCTCAATATTATTCTGTGCGAACATTGGTTAACTTTATTAATTTAGTTCTTAGTACTGAAAAATATTGAGGTTAATCTAACGTTGTAATTTTATTAGTTTGGAAATTCTTGGTACTGAAAATCATTGAAATTAATTTATTTTTCTTCGGTGCATCGTTTTCTTTTGCAATCTTGTTATTCTCTGTTCCTTTTAACTTTATTGACTTAATAGTTTTGCTGCTCTTATGCTAATTTAAGAATTGCTTATCTTTCTTATTGTTTTCTCTTTTGATTAAACGAGTACCGGAAACTGAAAAGAAAAAAAGTGCGATGGTTAATTAACGTTCAGTTACGCTTAAAACGCAGTTCAGAGATGTCTTCAGATGTTCGTGGAGTGGTAAATCGAGAAATTGATATGGCATTGGTGTGTCCAAAATTGCTCAGATTTTGGCATGGTGTTTTTCTTTTTGGAAAACAATTTCACCCCTTAAGTTTGAGTTTCTGTATTTGAAAAGAATACGTATATATTATTTTCCAATATTCTAGGAATCCTAGGTGGAAATTTTAAGTACTTTTAATCTAGATGACACCTTCTATCTTTAGAAAGATTAAAAAATAGGCTTTTTAAGTTTACTATTTAAAAAAGTGTTATTTATATCATATTAGAAGTCTAAAAATATAAATCATTGAGCTAGTGTTTCCAAAATTGATACTGAAAATTATTATTATTTTAGATAAATTATTTAACCTATTTAGATGTATGAAATTTGTTTTTGAATTTTAAATTCTACTTCAACGATATTTGCATTAAACGCGAACAATTTTGTACAATTATTAGGACATGAAAGCATGTATTGGTAATAAATAAGAATAAAAAATTAGAGACCTGCTTTACCAGTAGTTGGCACTTACAGCTTCATTTTATTTATCTTTAAATTTTAAGCTGTGAAGTAACGAAACTTAATAATAAATTATTAAATATAAACTCTAATTCAATTAAATGAAGTTAAATCTGAAGAAATTAAATTAGGATACATTTAATTTTGAACTGTTAAAGGGAGGACAATACGATTTGAACTAATTGCAAGATTTCATGTTTGCTACTCTAGATCTAAACATTTATATTTTAGAATTTTTTAAGAATCAACAGAGATGATTAAGGTATTACATAATAGTACTCTTAGGGATTGGTGATTATATTGCATGTCGAAATTCGTGGTACTAAACGAGGCCATCAAAATTCCATTTCCTTCCCTTTATCAAACATTCCATCAACGTCTACATAAACTAAAAATTTTCCAGTACTGTACTAAACTTTAATTCATAAGTTGCTATTAAAAATTAAATAAAAAATGTAAAATAGCTCTTCGCTAATTTGTTTCATTAAGATGCTCCATTAAAAATTATTCATTTATTTAATTCTAAGAAGAATTGAATGGTAGATTTGTAAGCCACGCATCATTCAATTTTTCAAAAAATCGTTCATTAATATTTCTACTTCAAATTTGCTAGAATAAGTTCCAAGTAAATAACAGAATAAGTTATTAATAGCACACTATTACCTTACATAAAAGAATGCTTATTTATAAATTGTGTGAATTATTTTATAGGTCGAAAATCCTCCCGTTCAGAATCCAACTGTTTTTACGAATATCCTAGAAGGTAAAAGAGTTCGACGTTTTTATAAGAAAAAGGTTATTCAAGATATCGATTTACACAACATACTTAAAAATTATTAGCATCGGTGAGCAATCTCTTTTCGACAAATTTAAATTCTTTAAATCTGTTACCAGTTAGCAAACACGAAAACATAGGAAATAAGATCTAAAGAATCGAATAAAATTAAAGTTGAAATGTACGTGATATAGAATAATAATGTTCTAATTCCTATTTCTTTGTCCCATGGAAAAATTTTCGTGAAATGTCCTTGCATTAATTCAACACAATATTGCAATAATTAATATTACCAATTAATACTACACAATACTACCAATAACACGAACTATTTATTCTAAATAAAACTCAAACATAAATAACGAATACTAATGAATATCATTAACAACATTGTACTCACTATAAATAAAATACAAACATAAACAACAGCAACCAAGATCATAAACCACCATTCAATGAATCCAAAAGCATTCCCTTGTAATTATTCCAAAAAATTAATTATTGAAATTTGATTTACCTTTTAAGATTGATCTGTGCACCTACTTTTAATAAATGCAACGATCATACATAAAAATTGACGACCCAAACAACAACAAACAAACCATTATTCTCATCCCACACAGTCCCAACACACAGACATCCTCCCCAAACATCCTATCAGCGACACACGTGTAAAGGGAACTACACGTGTTCCCTTTGTTGCTTACAGTCAATGCCCAACACATTCGAAGGTCACCGAAATCGTCGAGCTCGCCCGTGTTACCGATAATTCCCGAAAGCCGTAACAGTCTCGCCCGGTACCTGGCCCCTAACGCAAATACCCCAAAGGCTGTGTCAAAGAATCGAAAGAGGTTACCAAAGAACCGCGCGATTTTCTCGAACGATCAACCCGGAAGCCGCGTTTAGAAGTCACGGCCCTAGTGACTCGCCGAGCGGCGCGGCGCGGTTGTTGTTGTTGTTTCCGCGAGGATACGCGGGAATAGGCAAAGATCTAGCAGCCGGCGGCAACCGGGAAGGGGTTCGTTCGTATAAATGGGCACATGTGACAATTAAAACGACAGTCTGAAATCGTTCTCCGCTTAATCCGAACCCGGCCCCGGCCAACTCGTGAAACGAGCACGCGTGAAACTAAGGGAAAACGGAGGACTAATCAGTTAATCGGCAAGCGCGGACCGGCAGCCCGAGCGAACCGCCCCGCGAAAACCAGCGCACACATATGCGTTACATCAGGAAGACCAGCAAGATCATCCAGCTGCAATTTCGCACGTTTCTGCCGGCTTTTCGATAGTCGATCCACCATATCCCTCCGTTCCCCACGGTTTTCCCTGCTTTTCCTTTGAAATATTCAGGCGTTGGACGGTTGGACGACTGCTATTGGCTGGCTGCCATCTTGGAATTGGACAGGTAAGGGTGCTGATCGGAGGATCCGTCGGGTTAGATTGGAAATTGGTTTTTTTCGGGAGCTTCGAATCATGGAATATATTTCGAGTACACTCGTCCCTCGATTTACGCAGTAAATTGGAACATTATTTATGTGGTACATTTTTGTTGATTGTTAGTTTAGTAACACCGGATAAAATAAGAGTCAACTGAGACTCTTTTTAGGCGGTAAATTAGAATACTATTTACGCGGTAGTTTTTTTGTTAATTAATTTAGTAACACCGAGTGAAAGGTACTTTTGTTTTTTGAAGTGTCATTGTTATTGTTTCTTTTGTTGGACTATGTAGAATAAATATGTAGTTCTGAAACTTACATCAGCTTTTGAAAATTTGAACGATTTCTTTCGAATTTTTCGTATGTTTGTTACAGCATTCGAGTGGGAGTATTTATTTTTGGATCATTTGGGGTATTTAACGCTTTTAACACTAGATTTACGGAACGAGTCAATTCGACTCACATTGAATTTTATAAATATTGTTTGGTAAATGTTTGGGTCGATTTTGATTGACGCAACAACACAAATGTGTATTTTAATTGTTTACTTTTAAACCTCTAAATTACAAGAGCTAAATGAACGAATGTCGATTTTTCGAAGAACAATGGAACAAACTGTACAGCAAGTGTCTGTTAATATGATTAATATGTGATTATTATGGAAATTTTAATAATAGATTGTTTTCGATTCTATATTCGTTATAGTATTGAAGTAGAACTATTTATTTTTAAGATTACTTGGGGTATTTAACGCTTCTAAGATATTAATCATTGCTAAATAAAAGAACTCAGACCTGTCATTTCGATGGGTAAGTAATTCTACATAGTCACTTATATAATGAGATAAATAACCCTTAAGATTGAAGGGTTGTTAAGGATTAGGATGTTTTTGGAATCGTTGCGTTTTCAGGTTTCGAAACCTCATTTTATTAGTGAAGATTTGTAGGTTTCGTTTTATTAGTAAGAATTAGTAAAATGTTTTATTTCTTTAGTGACAACGATTAAAAAGTATTATTTCTTTGGTAAGAGCTTTATGTCATTTGAACAAAAATACCTTTTTCCGTGTGATACAGTTTTTTTTGTGTTTAATTATTGCAAGGTAAGGTTGGTAATTTATTAACATATAAAGCTAAGCTCTCTAACTCCAAAAATGCAATAGACATCTTGACAACTCTTCAATTACGCTCGCTGGAATAATATTATTGTTAATAATTTACTAAGAAGAAAAGAAACGTTCTATGTCTGTAAATGTGTACTATATTCACATTTATTTCAAAAATTAAAAATTGATAAAAGAAAAATAACATTTAATTTTGACTCAAGTGAATGTAACGGCATTTGTGTTTGCTAATTATTGCTCAAAATCTGCATTGCGAGTTTGACACGATATCGTAAGACAAGGGGTTCATCAATGACGTATTTACCTTCGTTATTCACAGATTCTTCTTATCTAAAGAGGTATCCCTTTTACTTCATTTGTATGAAAGGTTGTGATGCAAACAGGGATCATATATATGACTCAAATACAAGTAAATTTATATAACAGATTTAATATTCCTGTGATAATCACAATTTTTTATGAAAAAAGTGATAAGGAAATGAGAAATATTGAGATTTTTCTACTTGAAACTGAATTCCAATTGATGATTCAGTTTTGAGATATTCTCTTAGGGTGGCTAGAACATCTTATTTTTCTTTTCATTATAGTGTTTGTGTAAATTTATAAATTTTATGTGGAAATGAACAAATATATTGCAAAATTGAAGTTAGTCATTGAACAAAATTAACAATGTACATTTTGAATATGATAATTGACTGAATAGAGTGGAACTTCTCATCATTCTAAACAGTAACTTTTTTGGGGTTGAAAAATATTCATAGGCAGAGTACATCGCAATAAAAAATGTACTTCAGCAATTTTTTTTAATTAGGTGACAGTATATTGCTGTCTGAGAGTGTTTTATTAATATTGTTGACATAATTACTGACCAAATATTTGTAAATTTTGTACACTTAATAGTTCTTTAAGTGTACATTCTTATAACACCTTGTAAAATATTGCTAACGTTCAAGAAAACCAAAAGTGCCATTTTCTTGTTACTGAATATAAAATAATTTTGCAAACACCTAAAATGCAACCTGTACATATTGTCATAGTCCAATAACAAATGCAACCAAGAATTACGAACAAATAAGTGGTACATCTAAGAAAAACCGATTTCAACAGAATTTCTATAGAAACTTTGAACTTATTTTTCACCAGAAACTAACTCAAACTATCTGTCACAACTTTTGCCTTTGAAGAATGAAGTTTTGTAATGCTCTTAGTGCTCGAGGAAGCTCGGAATGAATACAAATATTCTATTTTGAAAATGAAATTCAAAAGCAATGCTCGAAATTGCGATAAAAAGGTGTATAAAATGTTAATTTCAAAGACCATCGTCGCAACACTGTTTGGAAAGTGAATTTTTCTAGGTGATCTAATTGAAAATCGTTGGACGCCGAAATCCGAATGTCCAAATACGAGAACAGAAATTTTTCTCACGAATTCTCATTCCTAGCTCGGTAGATATGGAGCGCAAGTTTCGGTTCGATTAAACCGGTTTCAACCAGAAACCGTAAATTGATATTTGAGTATCGTTAATGCGAACGGTGCCGATAAAATACACTGTAATAAAAATGTTTACGAGTGACACTGGCTGTTGCACGTCGTCCATATGAGTCTTGAACCTGAGAAAATTTCGTGAAAGGGAAATTCGTTCGTCTTACTTCACAGTGAAGTACGCTGGCAGAGGAACGTGCCGAACCAATACGAACCGATTCTATTTTAAATACATCTCTCGTTACATCTCCAAAACTAAAGTATGTAGAAAAAAATTCTTTCTTAAATATTATATTTCTTTTATGGATAATTGAATAACACGAGAAAACTTACACGAAAATTATTTATAACAAAAGATTCATTTATAACCCCTGACTTAAATTGAAATAAATTTTATATGTTTGTATGGAAGATTGAATAACACGAGAAAACTTACATACATATCATATATAACAAAGGCACGTTTTTAACCTTTAACTTAGTGTAAATTAATTCAAGTTTTGTATTTTTTATAGAGAATTGTATAATATGAGAAAACTTACGCAAAAATTGTTTACAAGGAAAGATGCATTTCTTAATCTTTAACTATGAGAATATTGTCGGCCCTTTGATATGGTGGGTAGTTAATGCTAAACATATGTGTCATCGATGTTTTCTTAAGAACTTATGCAAATTTTTATAATATCAACAGTTCCTGTAAAAATTTCAACTTATTATTTTTATGAAATTAGAAAAAATATGAATTGCAAAAAATGCATTTCTCCATCTCTCGTTATGTCCTTAGAAGAAATATAATATTCAAATGCATCTTTCGAAAATTCTTCTTAAATCCCTGAAAAATATTACCTTCTGTTATTCTTAAATAAAATAAATAAATCTATACATATTTTATTATATAACAACTAATTTTTCATTCCATTCATGATTTGTCCTCCCTTTTCAGTACTGCGTCTAAAACAGAGAAGAATCTGTTAAAAAATTATCTGAGAATTATAAAAAGTGCCCTCTGTTAATAATTTTGATCTTCTTCCAAGAATGATTTAATCATCAGATTCGATGAGTGTACATTTCATTGGTACGATGAGAAATGGCTGAGACTTACTCGGAAACAAAGTTGCGGAATCAAATGGTTTCATCCGGCGTTAACCAGATTCCTTAATGACGATCGAACGCCCGTGTTAATAGCCACAATGGCGGTGCAAATCTTTCTAAACAATTGCACCCAATGGCGGGGCACGCTGCGATGAATAATCGTAACGTGCCCGAGGTAAAACGAGACGTTACACTCGGCTTATGTAAGGAAAAGATGGTTTACGACAACGTGCATCTGTCTCCAGATTGTATCGATGATGCATCACTATTAAACTCCGGAAGTTTATGCACGGAACTCAATTTACGAAAGTTGATTCATGAAATTTGAAGTTGGAAGAAGTTTTCCTTCCAGCAGAGATACTTCAATTGAATAAAGATAAAATTGAAATGGATTCATTTCTGTTTTAATTCATGGAGATAGAAGTTGAAAGAAGTTTTCCTTTCAGCAGAGATACTTCAATTGAATAAAGATAAAATTGAAATGGATTCATTTCTGTTTTAATTCATGGAGATAGAAGTTGAAAGAAGTTTTCCTTTCAGCAGAGATACTTCAATTGAATAAAGATAAAATTGAAATGGATCCATTTCTGTTTTAATTCATGGAGATAGAAGTTGAAAGAAGTTTTCTTTTCAGCAGAGATACTTCAATTGAATAAAGATAAAATTGAAATGGATCCATTTCTGTTTTAATTCATGGAGATAGAAGTTGAAAGAAGTTTTCCTTTCAGCAGAGATACTTCAATAGAATAAAGATAAAATTGAAATGGATCCATTTCTGTTTTAATTCATGGAGATTGAAGTTGAAAGAAGTTTTCCTTTCGTTAGTGATATTTCAATAGAATGAAGGCAATTGATTTCTATTATATCAATTTTGGTTGTGCTTTGAATTTGACAAGTTTTGGGATATTTGGGAACCCCTATTCTACATGGGAGTAATAAAGAAATTGTTTTATTGAATATATTAACATATTAAGTGTATTATGATTATGTGACTAAGAAGTGTGAATTCATATTTTTGTTACATGTATATTGTAATATATAAAAATAATAAATATATAAATAAATTTATATTTCTTATTTTTAAAATAATAAATTTCTTTTTTCAGTTTTAAATATTGTAAGTATAATAATTGTATAATATTTAATTATACGAAGCCTTAGTTATTCTTTGGCTTGTTCAGTTAATAAACAAACGAATATTCATAATAAATTCACAATCAAATAGTAATCATCGAAAATAGATTATTTAACATTTTGATCCAATGTTTAACTTTTATTATTTTTATAAAATAGAATGTAATAAATAAAGAAGTTGAAATATAATGAACTCGATTTGACTGTAATAAAATATATTATAATGTAATGAAATTAAAATATTTAAAACTTTTATGAAATCCAATTCACCATTTTCAAATTTCAAATTTATATATGAAATCTGGGTCACGCGGAAGTGATAAATAATCGCGAGAGTTTCACGTGATTGTAGATCCATTATCGGAATATCGATCAATGTGGCCGAAGGTCAGTGAATGCCAAGCACGAGGATCGATCTATTAATATAGGTATCCTTTTTCACGATCTATGATACACAGTATCTTTTTACAATTTTCCTTGGAATAAATTCTAATCATCCGTTAAATTGACTTAGAAAATGGAATGATCATCTGCAAATCTTATTCTTTACTCAAAGTAAAGGATGTAAAACTGTGATGCCAATTAATTATTATTTTATTATTATTTTAATAGTATTTTATGACTTTTAATAATATTTTGTATTTCATTATTATTTCATTCGAATATTTCGACGCAAGCAATATAATATGTCATCAGTTTCTACTTATTGTTCCATGAGTTCACCAACACAATCATTATAAAATTACAAAATCGAAATGAATTATCGCAAAACAGATGCTAAAAATTAACTAGAAATATAGAACAAATTATTTTAAACTGATCCAGAATAAAAAACTTCAGAAATTTAACTCACACAAACGAAATCACCTTTTGAAAGCTCCATCGAAGGAGTCGCCATTTTTTGAAGTTGTGGAGGTTTCGGGGTGAACCAATATGGCGACTTGTCACCAGTTACCAAAATTCTGTGAACATTTTTAAAAATATCTTGAAAAATTGGTATCATGTATAAATACATTTGTTCGCGTACTTCCCAGGTGATCATTTACAAACAAACAAATTAAACTACTTATTATATAATAATAAATCTATTTATAAACAAAATTAAAAATATTTATATTCCATTCTATAATAATAATAATCACAAATATATCAATAAAATAATAGTTGAAATCTTTGATTCACCATCTAGTATCTATTATTTTAATAAAACATTTAGTTATTTTTTATTCTCGTTTCATTACAGCTAGTGAAAGATGCCGTCCCGTTTGTTCGTGTGGTTCCTGTTCTTGGCCGTCTCTTCAGCCGAGCAGCGACCATCAAATTATGTGGACGAGAAATGCATGGAGGATCATCCTGTCCTCCTGCACTTCTTTTCTTGGGTGGACTATGTGGTGCTAGCCGCCATGCTCATCATATCCTGTCTGATCGGCACATTCTACGGTTTCTTCTCGAAAAAGCAAGAAACCAGCCAGGACTTCCTGCTCGGTGGTTCGAGCATGGGGACCTTCCCCATGGCGATGTCCCTAGCTGCGAGCTTCATCACAGCCATAGAACTTCTTGGGAACCCTGCGGAAATGTACATGCAGGTACTTCAAATACGTAACTTCGACAGAAAAATTAAGGACCACTTAACCGGGGGTTGAAAAGTTATGATATTGGTTGAATAAAATGTTTCAAACAATGAATATTTTATTATGTCTTTAATTATCCGTGTAATGTAACTTGGAAAATACAGATTTTATTTAGTGTAATTGGCTTTTGGTGTTAGAACAGGATTTATTTTAGAGTTTGCTATTTGAAGCAGTCTATTAAATATTCTATGAATACATTTTGTCTGGCCAGTTACAAAATATTGAAAACATGTTATTCTTTTTTAATGTTTATTTACTGTCATTTATGTCTTCGAAATTATTATTAAAGAACTGTTTCCATTTTACTAAACATATCTTCCAATAAAGAGCATTAAAAATCGGCACAAAGAGATAGTTTCTTCATCATTTCGATGATCCATGGATGTAGGATTAATTGTTGCTTGAAATTGAAGGGAACACAATTCTGGATGACCTGCGTGGCGTTCATCCTGGTCGTTCCGATTACCTCGTACCTGTACCTGCCGGTTTTTATGAAGCTGCGATTGACGTCTAGCTACGAGTATCTGAATCTTCGGTTTGATCGGCATTGCAGATTGCTCGCGAGCGGATTGTACATGTTACAGATGATCCTCTATACGTCCGTCGCGGTGTACGCGCCCGCGTTAGCTCTAAGTCACGGTGAGTCAATTATCGAAATCACCTAAAATCAAATTCAACGAATATTTTTGAAATGTAGTAAAAATTGAAATGTTTCTTTCTGAATTTGAAAAATCCTGATACATTAAAAATTGTATGTTTTGGAAACGATACGTTTGAAAAGTTTGTTAACAATATGTTCCCTTATTTGCAACAATTGGTAACTATCGTGTAAAATAACAACTATTAAATTAATATAAATTAATGGTTGTGAAATTATTATACGTTCTAAGAGTTTCATCCACTAGACGGAGGAATGAAAAATAAAATTTATTTTTTAATCAATTTAACCTACTAATTGCTAATCAAATAATTTATTACAAAATGAATATTATTAATAATAATATTCATATCTAATATTTCATTGAAATAAATGTTTACGTTTCTAAGTTTCAAAATTACTATTCTTAAACTAATGTTATCATGAAATTTTCAATTTTTAATTTATCACCGAATTACTACTAAATTTGTTACTAAATTATTTTAATCTTTCAGATTATTATTATTACTGAATTTTCATGGATACCTTTTCTTTCATTGCAGTCACTGGTCTGAATACTTACATAGCAGTCACTCTAGTCTACGTAGTCTGTATCTTCTACGCCTCGCAGGTTCATATTTAATGATAATCTTTTTTATAGAACCATTGTAGCGAAAGGGTTAACCCTTTGCACTCCATAAGTTTTTCATTAAAAATACGCAATATCATTTGACAAGATATAGAAGACATTCTTTAAAATTGACTTAAGAAGAAATCACATATAAATTAAAGAACAAAAGTATTTGATTTCAATCTCTCACATATTAATACATTACGCGAAGCTTAATAAGTATATTATAAATGGTGGAGATTTTAAACAGGATTTAAGAAACATAAATATCACTCGATGTTGGTGAATTCAAATGAAATTTGAATCGCCTGTTATCGATTATTATACTTCAGAACAAACATAGGTATAGAATATACCTAAAATTTGTCTCTTCTTTTAACCGTTTGAGTACCAGAGGTTTTAAAAAAAAACATGGCCGAGAAAAGCCAAGCAGCGCGACAGCACTTGTCTTAACCTATGTT